TCTTCCCGACCCAGGGACTGAATCTATGTCTCCTGCATTGGCAGGTGGATTCTTTACCACTATGCCAAATAAAATAGGTTTAAGGAAAGCACCTCTTTCATAAGATGATTAGAAGGATTGGGTTAATATATAAAAGCACCTAGAACAGTACCTGGCACCATAGTAACCACAAATAAGTGTTTGCTTTTGTTAGCATTAGTATGAGTATTACCCCCTAAAAAGTACACATTTTCCTCTTCAGACGCCCACTTACTTTTATAACGAGGGCAAAAAAACCTAAACATGCTTATTTTAGAAATTTTACAAAGAACAGAAAAGTATAAAAAGGAAGAAAAATAGCCCATATCCAGCCAATTACTTATATTTCGAGGACAACGGATAATTTGACTCTGCTCAGTCTGCATTTTAGTAGATTTTCAATTGTGGCAGCCCGGCCCAGCCAAGTAGAACTGTACTTTGATTCTATTTTGCTCTTGGCACTCAACTATAATTCCAGGCATAACATGGGGTCTCTGTATGTTTGTCTTTCCTGCTAGGTTGGAAGCTCCTGGAGCAGAGAAACAGTATCTCTTTACTCTCTGCATGTCCTGGAACGCCCAGCACAGAGCCAGACCAGGGAAGATGCCTCCTTGATGCCAGCCAGTATGCCTGGCTTCTCCCAGCTGGACCACACCACAAGTCCGCTTCAACTCTCTTTGCTCAGAAACACAGGATTCTAACAGAACTATCTTTGAAATAAAATGTGAGGAGAAAAGAAACTCCTATTGTGACTTTAGTTGCGGGCATTCTGCACTACCTTTTCTCAAAGATCTTGGAGAGGGCACTTTTCTCTATTGGGTAATTTCAAATATGTTTTTCCTGCAGGGTATGTGGCTCATCAAAGTGGTGATTTTCCACTTGCAGGCATAAAAATGAAGAGAAGGCCGGCCAAAGTCACGCCCCAAAGAGACATTGCATGTGTTCTGAGATGACTTCTGTGAGATGCCTGCCAAAGACCACAAACCAACAGAGGGTTCTTTCTCAACACAAGATAATTGTACGCTTATCAGCATCACTCACTGTCTGAAGGAAGCTGGCCAAGGGGCAGCAAACGTCACCCCAAGCGGTAAAATAAGAATCAGAAACATGAAGCTTAATGTACCATGAACATGGGTTCTGAAAAAAAGGTGGGTTTTTTTGTTTGTTTGTTTTGTTTTTTTAAGAAAAAGTTGGAAGAAGCAAGAGAAGATGGAACAGACATGTCAGCTTCAGGGATAAGCCTGCTTTCCATCCATGTCCACTTCTGCCTTCCCCTTTCCCTTTCATCTTTGCAACTGGCCTGATATTCACAGCAGAAAAGCTGATCTAACTGAGATTTGCCTTTCCCAGAAAGGCCTCGTGTGATGTTTCCATGCAAACCGAATATTCTTACTGGAAGTGAAGTAGGGGACAGACACAATAGAAGAATGAATGTGCAAGTTTATAGTCCAAAAGAAGAACAGGCTCTTCCCCCAAATTATGAGCAGCTTCTAAATCGCACAGAACATCAGCAGAGGCAGAAAATGTATGTATGTGGATGAAAGAAATGCTGACGTCTTATATAAATCTATGCATCTGCCTCCAAAAGCAGACAATTAAGAAGTAGAAGTAAGTAATCTAAGCCTGACTCTGTATACCAAAATCCAGGAAAGTGCCAGAGTTGTCTCGTCACTGGTGTTTTTCCTCCCCCATAATAGATTCTTTTCCATCTTCCAGAAGCATTTTATCAGGCTATGTTTAGAATAGACGTCAGAGCTGGGAAACCAACTTGCAAACCAAGACTTTCCCAATGGTGCCATCTGCTGGTACTTCTCTGTATTACAATATGGCTTTGAGCTGCCTGGCGCGCTGCGGTGCAGGGGAGTTGGACGCAACTTAGCGACTGAACAACCGACAGCAAAAGACATGGGGAAGACAAAGGGCAAACCTGCAATTAGTCCTTTCACGATTTAAAAAGTTGAACCTTTGGGATTTGCCATGGATCGTGTGTGGAAATCATACACTAGGAAACCAAGTTTGGGGTCAGCCTGAACACTCAGCTGGTTTCATTTAGCACACTCTGTCCATTTTTTGTCCTTGTATTGAGCCATGAAAATGTTTCCAAAAGACCTCTGGGGAGAGATTTGTCAAAGTGCAACTTCTGGGGAAAGGGCTTAAAATCGCTGTATTATAGAGAGAATCCCTTTAGCTGTGGGCTTCTGAACCTGGGGACCATGATCCTATTTTATGGAAAGTGAACTCCATGAAGCTTAACATAAAAAGTGGTGTGTTGGCACTGATGGGCATTTTAACATAGAGGTATTTTCGCAGATTCTCAAAGGATTCCATGACCTAGAAAAAAGCCAAGAACAAACATTTATAATCATAACCTAACCAAATTCTACCACAGTCAACAAATTCAGTTACTCAGTTTGAACTGTACTGTTATGGAGACATCATGGGCTTTGAGGCAGTCAGTGGTAATTACCTCGAAGCTTTTGGAAGTATTAATACTGAATTGGACCATGTTTCCCCAGGATGTCAACCCATCAGGCTCAGCTCCACTCTCCACCCTATCACAGCTCACTCTTGTTCTTCTCCAAGACTAGATGGTCTTTCTGCAAGCCTCCACCTTTCCAGACTTTCATCAGCTGATTTTCAGATCCTTCCTTTCTCACGTGCCTGTGTGCTAAGTTGCTTCAGTCGTGTCAGACTCTGTGTGACCCCATGGATTGTAGCCCACCAGGCTCCTCAGTCCATGGGATTCTCCAGGCAAGAGTACTGGAGTGAGTTGCTGTGCCCTCCTCCACGGGATCTTCCTGACCCAGGGATCGAACCCAGGTCTCTTTTGTCTACCTGCATTGGCAGGTGGGTTCTTCACCACTAGCGCCACCTTGTGAGATGACGCTTCTTTGACAACTCGACGTATCATAACGAACGCACTCTCTCCCATGACAACCCTTTCCATCTACAGACTGAGTTGAACTTGTTCCAAACACCCAGGGCCTCTTTTCTATTTCTTCACAGACCACTAGTTTAACCAAGAGTCTTTCACCCTTTCCATTCTATAAAGACCATTGGCCTTAATAAACAATAAGAAAAAGGAGCAACAAACCAGAGGTTGTGTGTTTCCTCTCTACCATTGTTTGCCTCATTTCACTTGCTCCAAGCAGACCCACCCTTTCCTTATTCCTGTTTCAAATAGAACATAAAAGCTTTTTTATTGCTATCATTACTATTGTTCTCAGATCTGAGCTTATTCTGGTCTTTTGATTTCCATCTTGAGAAATTTATGACATGCTTTGTGTTTCTCCGTTAATGATGCCAGATTTCTGGCTTGGTACATCTCCCTTTAAAATCAAAGCTATAAAGAGAGCCCTCTGTGCAGCCTCGATGGTTTCCTTACATCTGCCCTGTTTCCTCTCTAGCCTGCTTTGTGGTAATGTATCACAAACAACATTTTTTTTCATGAACAATTTTTTTTTTTTTTTTAGCATCCATGTCTTGCTCATCTCTATCTTTTAGATTCTCTGACCATGAGCTCATGCCCATATTTTCGGTAGATTTTTTTAAATCTTCTTTCCTAAACTCTGGAGACATGAACTGTCCTTGTCATTTCCTCTTATTTCCCATCACTCTCGCTGTCACCTCATGGATGATGATTAGGATGGATATAAGGTTCTCCCCAGGCTTCCCTGGTGGTTCAGCCGGTAAAGAATCCACCTGCCAACGTAGGAGTGGGTCGGAGAGATCCCCTGGAGAAGGCAATGGCAACCCACTCCAGTATTCTTGCCTGGGAAATCCCATGGACAGAGGAGCCTGGTGGGCTGCAGTCCACGGGGTTGCACAGAGTCGGACATGACTGAGCGACTAAACAACAGGGTTCTCCCTATGCCTTCATCAGCACCGAAAGGCAAGAAAGGTAAACAAGAGAGACAGTGGCACACGATCAAGGCCAGAGATGAAACCAGGAAGCAATAGACAAGGCAGTTCAAAAAGGAATGCTACGAATGTGGCTGCGTCTCCCAGCTTTCCTCTTGGGCTCAGCCTGGTGCAATGGGCTAAGGGGTGGATCTTTAGAGTACCCGCCATGTGGCTCCAAGATCCAGCCATGGAGTGAACAAAAAAATATACAAGGCAAGGTTTTCCCTGATGATCGAGGGGCTAAGATCTGCACTCCCAAAGCAGAGGGCCTGGGTTCCATCCCTGCTCAGGGAACTACTTCCCGCACACCACAACTAAGACCCGGCGCAGGCAAAGAAATAAATAAAAATACACAAAAGAAGAAAATTTTGATACGAGTTAAGGGTGGTGGAAGCTGTTGCCTCCTCCTTACCTTGGGGATGCTAGCTCCGGAGCACCAGCAGCGGAAGTCTCCTGGAACCTCCTGATAGGCAGGACGTGGACCTCTTACCATCCCTAAGCTTGGGCTGTCCTGGAAACCCAGCCAGGCAGCACAGAGCCACCCAAGGCCTCAGAGTCCACAGCTGAGGGGTGAGGACCCCCAGACTAGCAAGCCCACCTAACGCCAACCCTGGAGGGGGCAGGCAACTTCCTGAGAGACTGCCCTTGTCACCAGATACACAATACCCAGCCGCCCTGGCCACAGAGTAGGTGTCCTGCCCGTGAGGGCTCAGCACTCAGTCCTCCAGGCTGACAGCTTCTCACCACCAGCCTCTGCACCCCGGCCGGGGGGGCTTCCTTCAGCTGCAGAGAGTGCACCCCACAAACCCAGGGCAGCCAGGAGTTCCAGGGAGCAGCCCTCCATCACTGATGAAAGAGTGAAGTGAAAGCTGCTCAGTCGTGTACAACTCTTTGCGACCCAATGGTCTATACAGTCCATGGAATTCTCCAGGCCAGAATACTGGAGTGGGTAGCCTTTCCCTTCTCCAGGGGATCTTCCCAACCCAGGGATCGAACCCAGGTCTCCCGCATTGCGGGGCAGATTCTTTACCAGCTGATCCACCGGGGAAGCCATGTGATGGAAGAGACATGATGGCAAAATGCCCCAGTTTCTCACCGCCAAGAGGGACCACTCGGAGATGCATGCTACACAGCCTATTGGCTATGCCCAGGACTCATCTCCTCCCTGCCACCAAGAACTTGTCCTGACCGATTTCCCTTCTCTTGCCCCCACTTCCCCTATGGCACTTCCTGGCTTCACCTCCCAAGTAAACTGCTGGGGGTGGAATTCCAGTCCCGTGGCGTTGGGGCGGGGACTCGTGCTAAGACGCACCTGGTTGAACTTCTGTAATTCACAACCCCCCTGCCCTCAGGAGGCCGTGGTATTGAGCAGCCAATTCCGGACTAGCTACCCCACCCCCAGCCTCCCCTGGAAGGCGTCTGGTGCGCCGGTTTCCGCGCTTTTCCAGGTGGGTTCGAGAGTGTTAATAGCCTCGGTAGGGAGACCAGAGGTCCCCAAGCGGCAGGAGGACGCTGGCAAGTGGCAGACTTTTTTTTTTTTTCTTTTCTCTTCTAACCCTGTGTTGCCATGGCGACACCTGGTTGCACCTGAATGTAACTTTATCTCAAACCTTGAGCTAGCCATTGCGTTTTTCTTATGGAAATGTTTCCTTTAAGCTATGTTAATGAACTATGTATTTGTTTGGAAATGGGGCTGCCTTTCTTCAAGATTCAGGTCAATTGTTTTTTGGCCCGGGATGACTCACCTAGGGCAATGCTATTTCAAAATGCATGTTGTGTGGGTGAGGGGCCTGGTGCCACTCTTTCAGTTTTGAGGTGTTTTCTTTCTGTAATGAGCAGCGTGCTAATAGGTACTTTTTGCTAAAAACTACCAAGGGGGCCCTCTTTCTGTCCCCTTCTGATGTCTATGTCAGAAGCTTTCTCTATCTCTTTAATACTTTAATAAAACTTTATTACACAAAAAGCTCTGAGCGATCAAGCCTCATCTCTGGCCCCGGATCGAATTCCTCTCCTCTGGAGGGCAAGCTGGATTTAGAAAAGGCAGAGGAACCAGAGGTCAAATTGCCAACATCCATTGGATCATCGAAAAGGCGAGAGTTCCAGAAAAACATAAAGCCTTTGACTGTGTGGATCACAACAAACTGGAAAATTCAAGAGATGGGAATATCAGACCACCTGAACTGCCTCCCAAGAAATCTGTATGCAGGTCAAGAAGTAACAGTTAGAACGGGACATGGAACAACAGACTGGTTACAAGTCGGAAAAGGAGTAAGTCAAGGCTGTATATTGTCACCCTGCTTATTTAACTGACATGCAGAGTACATCATGTGAAACAATGGGCTGGATGCAGCACAAGCTGGATCAAGATTGCTGGGAGAAATATCAATAACCTCAGATATGCAGATGNGAAGGGGACGACAGAGGATGAGATGGCTGGATGGCATCATCGACTCAATGGACATGAGTTTGAGTGAACTCCAGGAGTTGGCGATGGACAGGGAGGCCTGGCATGCTGCAGACCATGGGGTCACAAAGAGTCAGACACGACTGAGCGACTGAACTGGAGGCCACAAACTGGAGGCATTGCACAAGGCTCGTAGCAGCAACCTTTCAGGTTCATGAGGGAGCTTCCGAGACACTGACTTAGCGCTCCTGGGAACCCTGTCCGAAAGCTGCTCCCACCCAGCCCATGCTCACCCTCCCTGCCCCCTCGCCAAACTGAGCTATGGTGCTCAGGATGTGGCCCAAGGACCCCCACCCGCGCATCCCCATAACCTGGGGAGCACGTTGAAAACGAGCTTTCTTGGACACTACCAACTGAATCAGGATTCCTGCAGGTGAGGCCTGGGAATCTGCATTTGAAGTGATTCCTCAGGGCACCTTTTACAGCCTGAGCTTTGACATCAGCTGCTCCAAAGTGTGAGCAGTCAGTAATCAGCATCATCAGTTTACTCTAATCAGTTACCAGCCCAGCCTCATTCAGCAAAACCCACAGCACTCAGTTCAGGTGCATCAGCCCCTTTACAGTTTCTGGGTGACCCTCTTGGCGGTTTTGTGTGTTTTTCCTGCCCTCTCGGGTTCTGGCACCGCTTTGCCCATAGTGCAGAGGGCATGAGTGCCTGGGGCTGTAGGCTTCCTGGGGGAGAACTCAGACAATGACTGCCAAGCATGGGCATCTGAAAGCCCAGCTCCCTAGCTTGGATCTGGGACAAACTCTTGGGGTGTAACTTAGCCTCAAGAGCGCCCCTGGGGATCTGGCCTTGGCTGGGTCTTCGCTCAAGCTCAACCTTCGCTTGCCCTCCTCCCCTTCCCTGTCCTGCTCTGCCCTTCCTCCTGGAGAAACCTGAATCCTCATTTCAGGCTTTACTCCTGGAGGCATGTACCTCCCAACCTGTTTTACCTATTTTTTCCTGACTTATGCTGTGAATGAACTTGAAAGTAGCTCGTTACACCATAAATAATTTGCTCAGTATCCAGTTGTTCACAGGCAGTGGCAGTTACACTGACAGGAGGGGCCTGAGTGGATGGAGGTCAGGAAAGCCAGCCCCCCTTTACCTTCTCAGTCATTTCCTCTCCTCAGTCATCTTGAGATTTCACAAGCATTTCCTGTGTTCCAGGTATTGTTCTAAGCACTTCATGTCTGGTCTGCCATTTCATCCTCAGAGCAACCTTTTGATAGTGGTACTTCTGTCCCTGCCATTTTCTTTTTTCTTTTTAAAATATTTCTTTATTTTTGGCTGCACTGGGTCTTCATTGCTGCGTGGGCTTTTCTCTAGGTGTGGCGAGCAGGAGCTCCTCTCTAGATGCAGTGCATGGGCTTCAGTAGTTGTGGCACACAGGCTTAGTTGCCCCGTGGCATGTGGGATCTTCCTGGGCCAAGGATCAAACCCACGGGAGTCATGAGCTTTGTCTGCATCCATCTCCAGGGCTACAGAGGGATCCAGAAATTTTTCACATTTTCAATGCATTTTCTTATAACTAACACAGCTGACCTTCTCCCACTGTTTGGATTCTTCTATTCTTTAGGCAGCGATTTTGTCAACTCCTTTCTTAAAATCATTTCAACTCCTGAACACTTGCTTATGCTGCTCAGGCCTGCTGAAGTGAACTCCTGCACATTACGGAGGAGTTCGTACAAAAGTCTCTTGCCAGGTGCAAACTGGCCTATTAAAAGGAATTTGTCCAGGGCCCCAGGAACCAAAGAGCGGTTCCCAAGGACACCCACAGCTCTCTAGGAGACTCACGACCCAGAAGCTCTCAGACTTATTTCTTCGTTCTATCCCTAGTTCTAAAGGCTGTCCTGTGCTCAGTCATGCCCGACTCTTTTGCAACCCCGTGGACTGTAGCCCACCAGGCTCCTCTGTCCATGGGATTCTCCAGGCAAGAATACTGGAGTGGGTTGCCATGTCCTACACCTTCAGTAAATGTTTTTCAAATATTACGACTTTGTCTTTGAAAAAATAAGAGGGGCTTGCGTCCATTGCTGGGAACAAAGTTCTAGATCAAAAATCCTTCTGCCCCACACAAACTGACTAAGCCTCAGACACAAACTAAGGAGACAACCCTGACTGGGGTGGTCTGAGGGAGTATAGAAGTCTTCAGCTGGCTTTTCACAGAAATATGTAGAAAAGCGAGTCCAGGAGGACTAGAACTGTGAGGTACAGAGGATGGGCAGCGTACGAAGCAAGTCCCTGCAGGAAGAGATAGCAGGCTCAAAAAGTGAAACTGGGGAGAGTTCAATAGAGACTTAAGTACAGGGTAAGGTTAAAGGCAAGCGACAAGGCATGGTGAACACACCAGGGCAAGTGGAGGAAGCGGCCTCACAGCTGGGTCTGAAGGGGCAAGAGGAGGCGGCAGTCCCCCGACCTGGTGGCAGCCATAGCTCAGGGTGAGGGCTGCCGGGGGGCGGCATGGGTTTCAGCAGAGGAAAACAGCTGCCATCCAGCCCCAGCCAGGCAGACAGGAGCTGGGGGAGTCAATACCCCGACCTCTCTTCCTGCCTCCGATCTCCTGTCAGTGTCCCCAGTGACTGGACCTAATCAGAAGGGGCCACCCTTCAGATGGGATGTGGAGGGACAAATGGAGAATATCCAGCTCAAGAGCTCAAGCTGTTTTCCAAGCTATTATCTGGAGATCCTGAAGACCTCTAGATTTTACACACACACACACACACACACACACAGCCTCTAGATTACATACACACACACACACACACACACACACACCCCAGAGCCACTGTCTGTATCTTGTCTCTGTCTAGCCCCCCAACCTGCTTTCTTGCAGTAACAGAAGACCACTATTCTTCCACTTGTGTGGTTCTCCATCCCCACCCTTCAACAAGGGTGGCATGTCTTCAAAGCCTCACCTGTCATGATACCTGATGTCCCCAGCCACTGGAGGTGGCAGTGTGAGCCAAGTAGAACCCAATGGGATTCTTCCCTGGAGCTTTCTGTCTTTCCTCTGTCTTTTCTTGCTTCCTTCCAATCATCTGGTTGTCTACCCACTGATGGATAGTAGAAGAGAGACGCGCTCATCTCTAGGGTCAACTATGCCAAGGTGACATGAGTTTGCCTTCTCCCCCCACTACACGGAAAAACATTTAGATGACAAAGAGACCAATATAAAGAGAAGCACAGAGTTGAGGGGAGAGAGGGGTGGCAGACAGCCCTTATGATGTCATTTGACATCTTAGATTACCTGAGACTGGCTCTACCTCTGGAGGTGCCAGTTTCCTGAGCCAATAAATCCCTCTTTTTGCTTTAACTGGCTTGAATTGGATTTCTATCACTTGCACTAGAAATGGTGTCACACGCAAGTCCAAACAGAAAACACATACTCACACACGCACCAACCTACCCTGACCCTATCCATGGCAGTCACCCCACACTCTTCCACTCTGCACCCTCATAAACGGCATTCACAGAAATCTGTAGTCTCATCAACCCCCACAGAAATGCTAAATTATTGTGTTATTTTAGGGCGGAATATAAGAGGAAGCAACTTTCGGTTTAAAAAAAATGCATTTAGATCAGTATACTATTAAAGATTGCATTATAATTTCCATTTTAATGTATTCCTTAGTAATATTCATAACATATAAGGACGAAGTTTGACTTTTTCCCATTTAACAAGTGATGCATGCTGCTTAATTTATTTTAAATTAAGTATGCAAGAAAGAGCATGGTTTATCTACAAATTCAAAATGATATAATAATACTGTTTGGGGACCAAATGTGTATTAATATGTAGATGGAAATTTAACTATGTGTTACAACCCTCCAAACTGCTTCCATGACCTGATATTTGGAAGTCTTGAATTTTGCACTTAAAAAAAAATCAATTACTTTATTATTATAATTTTCATGTTTTGTTTCTAAAAGAGGAGACATGAGCACTTTCTGGCTGCTATTTGCAAGTACTTCTCCAGAAATAACATACTGTGGGTTTG